TTCAACCAGTTGTATACTCGCCTTTTAGTAGGTTCATCTAGGCTATATTTTTCTAGTTTGTTCATGAGAAATTCATGAGACAGTGTCAAAAGCCTTACTGTAGTCAAGATACAGTAAAAGCTGTTTTATCCAGCATGTTTTGGGGATTAGTGGTGCTGATAAGTAAAAAATGCCAGTTAACAAAGAGGAAAGGAGTTTGGATGCGGGGGGAGGGAGAAAGGGGGGGGTGCGGGAGTGGGTGTGGGCTCTGGGAGGGAGTTTGGGTGCAGGAGGGGATCTGAGGTATGGGAGGGGATGCGGGGTGCCGGATCCAGGGCGTGCTTACTTTGGGTGATTCCCCTCAAGCGGTGACCTGTCCCAGTTGCTCCTAGGCGGAGGTGCAGCAGGCGGCTCTGCACATGCCCCTGCCCTGCCCTGAGCACTGCCTCTGCAGCTTCCATTGGCTTCTAGACAAATCATTTTACTCTCTGAGTCTTAGTTATACCGACCATAAAATGGAGACAATGAGAACAATTATCATTGTATGGTATTAAAGGTATTAGGATTTGCCAGCTCAGAAAATACCTTAATTTTAGAAAGTGTGGGATCTCCTGTATCTTCAGTATCCCATGCCACCTGCCATGTTTTAGCTAATGTCTTAGATTCTTCCCACTGGAGAAATGAAAGGTTATGGCCCTTTTGGCAGCTTACTTTATTTTTAAAGGGTTTTTTTTTTTTAGCACTTTTTATGTTCAATACAGTCTTTTAAAACTCATAAGTGGGGTTACCCTTAGTGAGATTACAGTACGCTTTCACATGTGGTTAACCTAGAAGTATGCAGTTCAGTGACTTACAATGTAATTACTACAATATCTCAGAAAATATATTGAAGCTTTTAAGGTATAAATAATGTCCAAAATCTTGTATATAAAGGGGGAGTTCCAGTGTTATTGAGAGGAAGAGGTTCAATATATTTCTTTTCTCTAAAGAGCGGATGAATGAGAAGAAGACTGTTATACATACCATTGTTTCATCATGACCTTCAGATCAGTACTTGGATAAGTATGTCACATTCTGATGAAACACTGTACACCTTCTTTCACCAGCCCTGTCCTTCCTCTTACAACTGAGATTTGCAGAAAAAGATACTAGTTCTGCCATTCATCAGAGAACCTTTCACGGTGGAAAAAGTATTTATATGGCTGTCAGCAAGCAGATCTTATTATACCTGGTCTGTCGAACCTGAGATTGCTGATAAGAAGTTTTGATAAATATAAGTCCTGATTGATGCCAAACAATAGAACAAGGCTCTTTTCATGGTTAGGTGTTAGAATTCTCTTTATACTATTATACTTAAAGAATAGGTATTTAGTTTACATCTCTTCTTAATTTAAATCTAGAAAGGAAGGTGTATCAGCTGCATGAAGACCATTAGTGAACATTGCATTTGTACAGCATCAAGGTATTTTCTTCGTAAAGTCTAACACACTAATAATAAACACACACCTCCAAACTTCTCCAGAGAATGAGACGGTCAGGAATAAAGACAATTAGTGATCCTGGGGTACCATATATGGTATCTTCAATCTAGCAGAGAAAGGTAAAATACTATCTAATAGCTAGAAATTGAAGCTAGACAAATTCAGACTGGAAATAATGGTGTATATCATTAACAGTGAGGGTAATTAACCACTGGAACAGTTTGCCAAGGGTCATGTGGATTCTCCATCACTGGCCACTTTAAATGAAGTTTGGCTGGTTTTCTAAAAATATGCTCAAGAAATTATTTTGGGGAAGTTCTGGGGCTTGTGATGTGTTATAGAGGAGGTTAGACTAGATGATCACAATGGGTCCCTTCTGGACTTGGATCTAGAATCTATATCCAGACATCCAGGTAAATCTTCATTGTAGTCTTTATTTCTAACTCACACGGAAATTGTGGTCATTGTTTTACTTTGACTCCAATAGGGGGGCGTGAGTCCTCACTGGATCATGTCAACATTCTTCTTACATTCACCTTGATGTTTAATGGAGTGGGAATGCAACCACTTCAGCGAGGACAAAGAATTGTTTAAAGAAGTGCATAACTTTTTACAGGGAACCATACTGTACAAGAACCTTTTAACAACTGAATGTATCAGATAAAAATTGTGAGGTCTTGTTCTGTCCTGGATATTTCTTTTTAAGGGAGATGTCCCAGCTCTTGCATTCTTTTTCATTTTCATTTTTGTTTTATTTTATTTTAATTTTATTAAAGAGTTTGCCGCAGACACTGGTATCCTAACTTGGATCTGTTCTTTTGTGTTTGGGACCTGTAACACATTTTCTTGAACTCCTTACAGTGCACAGATCTTCAAACCGGAACTGCATGCTAATGAGCAGAGAGTTTCTGAGCAATGAGGAGCATATCTGTGATGAAAATGAAGCCATTTTCCTTGGCTGTTTATTTCTCAGAGTGTTGGTAGTGTCATGAACAAAGCTGTGAAAAGCTTCCAGTAGAGATTAGGTGTGTGTGATGTCCACAAGGGTCTAGTATAAAACATGTAATATAATTAGATTGGCCTCAGATCTAGGGTTCCTCCTTTATATTATGTACTCAGATTTTCCCAGTCTATATTTTGAGTACCTTTTTGTTTTAGTTTCCGCATTTTCTTACATGTGCTGGCAAAATAAATAAATGATGGGGAGGAGAGAAGAAGGTTTACTTTCAAGCTGAATTTTTTTTCTTTCTTGAGTAGTTTTGGGATACATGTTTTATGTTTCTCTTTACTTTTCCCAACATCTGTTTTTTTTCTACACTCCTTTTTCTTTCTTTTGCTAAATTAAGACTATAAAGGCTATTGCTTTAGCTTCCTGTATAGATTAGGATTTTGTGCAATAGACAAAGGGTGACCAGCCAAATTCTCCAATCTAGTGGATACAAAATGTTCTGAAACCTGTGAAGAGAAAAAGAGAATAACCCTAAATGTGTAATTCAGAATTATGGCTGTGATATATTATTGTGTTTTGATTTTGAGGATATGGTTAAACATGACAAACTTTTATTTTCTGGGCTACCACTCCCTTCAGCTCTAGATTTAACCTCATCCCAAGTGGCCTATGGGATTAAACTGAAAGGAGAGAATGGATAGGGCAATTCCAGCTCCTCTTTGGTCACCTTCATAGGATTTAAACTTTGATTTAAAATAAAAATTCCTGGCCCTTTTGGTTGTGAGGAAAAACTTTTAAATGAAAACCAAGAGCCTGCCACAGTTAGCAGAGGGACAGACTGAAATAATATCTCTGAAAAGTTGCTGCCCATTCAGCCCCATGCAGGCTAAAGTTATTTGGTAATTTAAATAGCTAATATTAAGTATCTCACAATAAAGTATTTGAGTAGCTAATTTGCTGGTCCACTGTTGTCACACAGAAGTTTGAGAAGAAGAATACCTGTTATGTGATCTTATATTTAGGATTGTTCTTTATAATATATTCTCCAGTGCTTTGACCAATTTTAAATGTTTGAAATACTCAGTCTTTTCCATCCCAGGACACCTTCTTCCATTTAGCAATATGGGAAGGGCAGGGTAGCTGTGATCCTTCTGACACCTGTTAATGAGCATCAGGTTGAGAACCCCTGTCGTAAATGATGGGATTTCCACAACTTTTACAGTCTAATAGACTTACCATTTGGAATTTTTTCCCCAATTCTCTCCTTCTCCCCGCCCCATCCAACCTTTTCTTAATTATGACTTTTTCCTTCGGCTTTCCTGTTACTGGTGAGCTCCGCATGAGTTGCCAGGGAAGGAAAATGGAGGGTGAAGGACATTAACTGTGTGGCAAGTGGAAGATGGTTAGAGTTCTATCACTCTGTTCTCCACCCCATGGTTAAATTCCTCATCTACAGCTAGTTCTTACTGCCATGCTCATAACCTGCGCTCACCCCAGCCAATAGTAATGATAACTGTGGTCTTGTAGGGAGTATGGTGTTGCATTCAATCTACACATGCATGAAAGCTTTATGTTTCCTTTGTATAGAAACCATTCAAAATAAAATGACAGGTTTCAGAGGAACAGCCGTGTTAGTCTGTATTCGCAAAAAGAAAAGGAGTACTTGTGGCACCTTAGAGACTAACCAATTTATTTGAGCATGAGCTTTCGTGAGCCACAGCTCACTTCATCAGATGTGTACCGTGGAAACTGCAGTTTCCACGGTACACATCTGATGAAGTGAGCTGTGGCTCACGAAAGCTCATGCTCAAATAAATTGGTTAGTCTCTAAGGTGCCACAAGTACTCCTTTTCTTTTTTCAAAATAAAATGGACAATTAACAAGCCCATCACAACATGTGGTGTACCTCATCCAGTGCATCAAATGCACCAACAACTACTATGTGGGTAAAACAAGAAAGTCACTCTACTCTCAAATGAACGCACACAGAAAAATGATAAATGACAAAAACATCCTATCAACTGTGAGTGAACACTTTTCACAAAACGATAACTCCATATCTGACCTCATCCTCAAAGGAGACCTGCACAACACCTTCAAAAGTTGATCTTGGGAGCTTAAATTCAAAACTGGTAGACATCAAAAATCATGGACTGAGTAGAGACACTGGATTTATGTCTCATTACAACAATCTATACCCCACTTACCCTCCTTTGTCCTCTAACTGCAAAAAATATTAATTGCTCACTTCACTGTGATGCTCTGATTACCTTTCCCAGACATAAAGAAGAGCTCTGTGGAGCTCTTAGGCTTGTCACTTTCACCACAGAGGTTGGTCCAATAAAAGACATTGCCTCACTCACTTCTTGTCTCTTATATCCGTGGACCAGCATGACTATAACAACACTGCAAACATAAACTTAATAGAAATTGTGGGTGCCGAGCATCTCAAGGTCAGAACCTTAATGCTTCTCTTGCCTCTCCAGAAGGTATCTGGGTTGCATCACAGGAGATTTATTCTCATCTCTCCAAACTCATGTGAGTATAAATTGGAGATTAATGATGTAAAACAATATTTTTTAATTTTGCAGATTGACCAATTGAAACAGGAACTTTCAAAGAAAGAATCAGAACTTCTCGCCTTACAAACTAAGCTTGAAACCCTTAGCAATCAGAATTCAGATTGCAAGCAACACATTGAAGTGCTTAAAGAGTCGCTTACTGCCAAAGAACAGAGAGCTGCCATACTTCAGACAGAGGTAAGTTATTTTCTCATCATACAATGCAATATAAGTGTTTAGTTAACAGAGTGTGTCAGGGTTAAAATGATGTATTAGTTACAAATCTTTGCAGAAGATATATTCTGGGCTTTTTTTCAATTTGTTAAAAATAGTGTAACAGCTTAGACCCTGCCATGTGCTAATACATTTAGCATATTTTCCTTATTACAGTATGTTAGCACTGATCCTGCAGTTCTTGAAAAGAACCTACTGACTTCAGTAGCAGTCCTGCATGTGTTAGCATTGCAAGATTGGACCCATGTATGGAATCCACAACATTAAGGGTGTGTAGCTGTAGCTGAGATTTCCCTTGTCTTTAGTGAAATATATTTCCACTAAATTCATTTCTTCTTAATATTTTCACTCCTAATTTCAAATTGTCTTGACATAGTTTGGGACCTCAGACCTGTTTCCTCAGACCTAATGCTCATTTTTGTGTCTTCTATTGTACATTTCAATTCTAAAGAGAGAGGGCGTTTATATGTTTTGAAGGGTGCATAAATATAGGAGGGGTGTAGGTTATTGGTGTGAAGTCTTTGTTTCTTAGAAAATTAGCTTTGATTTTCAAATGTGAATAGATTGTTAATCCTAATAGACCAGTATATTAGGGTTTTTTAGTGTGTAGTGTCTAAAGTACAGAGCTTGAAAATATAGATATTTAAATATGCTTTACGCAGTTGAGATGGTTTTCAAATGTGATTAAATAAACCATTTCAGTGTTAAAAATGGTCTTCTCCACAAAAATGGTCTTCCTTTTCCATGTCTGTTTTTTACTGTGAAGGTATGAAACACAAAATAAGAATTAAATTTATATTTTAACTGTTTTATTTGTAAGTTTTGAATTGGTGTGCATTTTAAAAGAACATGAACAGTTAGACACTGCATTTATAAAAGGAAAATAAACTCTTTACATTCAGGAAAGTATACTAATTTAAATAGATTGGTTTCTTGCCTGATAGTTCAAAGTTTAATCCTAGGTAAAGGAATTCCAGGGGCCAAATATCACTTTAGTTCATCATATTCATGGAGAAAAGTTAGCTGACATTAATCTCTATTTTTAAAATATATATTCTGAGATTCTAGGTGTCTATTGAACTGCATGTCCCAGGATTCATCCTCTTACATGTTAATAAGGTACAAATAAAAATTTGAAATTGCAAATCTGCCTTCATCGGTCAAATAAAATAGAAGGAAACATAAATATAAAATCATGATGATAGAATAAGAGTAAAAACATCCTGCTGCCTAGCACTACTTCAGAAAGAGCCACAGATCCCAAAGGAGACTGAGGCAGTCTTCTGGTTCTGGGTGTAGCCAGCTACACCTCCCCTTCCCATCACCATCCCCACAGCGCCTAGCAAATGCCTGTTCTGACTCATGTGTTCAGGACAATGATCCAGGAGTACCTTCTCCTTCCCCATTCCCCTGGTTTGGGGACTGACTGACCTGCTTTTATAATGTCTGAGACTCTATTACAATAGACAATTGGATCCTAAGCACTGTCCAATAAGATTATGCCATACAGTTCCTCTCTATCCACCCTTCCCACGTTGCTTTTCAGGGACCCCTTTCCCGAGACACCACTCTTTTAGCAGGTTCAGTCTCTACTGGCCTTTGGGGCTGTAGAGGAGGGCCTCCTGAAGCACTGGGGACAGGGATTCTAGTCCCAGTATTTCCTGGTTCCCAAACCCTTGGGAGACATATCCTCAGCCTCTGTAATCTTAACAAATATGTCTGATACATGAGATACCAGATGGTCACCCTGGCAACAATACTTCCTGCCTTAAACCACAATGACTGGTTTGTTGCCTGTACCTTCAGGATGCTTATTTTCATGTAGCAATTCTCTCAAACTGGTTTGCTGTGGTGGACCAACACTAGCCCTTTGGCCTGTTTTCTGCCCCTGGGGTCTTTATGAAATGGATGGTCACAGTAACAGTATACCTCAGGAAGAGGGGAATTCATATCTTCTGTTATCTGGATGATTGGTTACTGAGTGGCAAGTCAAGAGAGCATGTCCTTTGTCATATCTAGTTCACACTATGCCTACTCAATCATCTGTATCTCCTCTTAAACAGCGGGAGGTCAACTTTGGTTCCAACTCTAAGAATCAAGCTCATTGGGCCCTGATAGACTCTACGAATTCGAGAGCATTTCTGCTGACCAAATGATTCCAGGCAATCTGTCACTTATGTCTAGAGCTGAAGACCCAGCTTTCAACCACAGCCTGAGTATGCCTGAGGTCTCTAGCCCATATGGTTGCATGCACACAGGTAGTCCAATATGCCATGTGACTTTATCCTCTTCAAATGTGACTGAAGTCAGCCTATCGTCCATACTGTCATCCTTTAGACAGACTGGTGAGTCTTCCACTCCCAGTCCTGGATTTCTTGCAGTGGTGGATGGTTCAGGACTTGTGCCAGGGCATTCCCTTCACTTGGTCACCACCATCAGAACTATTGTCATCAATGGCTCCTTTAATAGTTTGGGGACTGCATCTGGGGTCACTGAAGGTTCAAGGCCTATGGTCAGAATGTGAAACTTCTTTACATATCAATGTCCTGGAGCTTTATGCTATCTATGATTCTTGTCAGGCCTTTTAAGATCTCATCAGGGGCTCAGTGGTTTTCATGCTCACCAATAGTACCACTGTGATGTATTATATGAACAGGCAGTGGGGGAGCACACTCCAATGTGCTTTGTCAGGAGGCAATCAGGTTCTGGCAGTTTTGTACCAGGGAAAACATTACCCCCGTGGCTGATTGCTTGCCTGGGACCCACACTCATTGGGCAGATCACCTCAGCAGGAGTTTCTCCCTGAATCGCTAGTGATCTCTAAAGCCTAGCATCCTGCAGTCTGTCTTTGCACTCTGGGGCATGCTGACAATTGACCTGTTTGCTATGAGAGAAAACAAGAAATGCCAGTTGTTTTGTTCCCAAGGGGGGTCTCAGTTCAGGCTTGTTGATTGATGCTTTTCACTTGAGCTGGGAACTGGCACTCTTATATGTCATTCCTCCAATTCTGATCATCTTGAGATTCGTTTTCCAGTGCAGTCGAGACAATATTGGTTTTCCAACCTCCTCACATTGTTGGTCCAACCTTCCATATCCCTTCCTCTTCATCGTGACCTCCTGACTCAATAGCCCAGTCAGAATTTTCTCCCAGCGATCAGTTCCCTGCATCTCACAGAATGGATGCTGCATAGTTACATGAGGAGGAGGAATGATGCTCGGAGGCAGTCCAACAGGTCTAGCTTAACAGTGGGAAGCTCTCTGCCAGGATGGAAGTGGAAGTGGTTCTCAGTATGGTCATTAGCCTGGGGAGTTCAACCAACATGGGCTTGTATCCAGGACATCTTGGAGTACCTATTACACCTTCAGTCTTCTGGCCTTGTGATTAGTTCACTGAGGATCCACCTGTGTCAATTTCAGCATTTCATCCACCTATCCATGGGAAGTTTGTGTTTTCAAACCCTATGGCAGTGAGGTTCGTGAAAGATGTCGCTCATCTCCACCTATCCGGTTAAAGAGCCGGTTGCTTTAATATTATTTTAGTAGCTCTTACAGTATCTTTGTTTAAGCCTCTGGCAACTTCTTCTTATTCCCTTCTGTGTCAGAAAACTGCCTCACCTGTGGTGATAACATCTGCAAGGTGCGTGTGCGAGTTCTATGCTTTGATGGCAGAGCTTCCTTACATGCAATTTTCCAAAGACAAAGAAACCATGTGTCCGCACTTCTAGTTTTTCTCATATGTGGAATCCAAGTTTCATTTGAACCACATAGATCTACCAATGTTTTTTTCTAAGCCACATTCAATCCCAGAGGAGCAGTGGCTCCACACTCTGGATGTTAGGTGATGTCTAATATTTTATCTTGACAGAACTGAACCTTTCCATTCCTCACCACGCCTGTTTGTTTCCTGTGGAGACCGAATGACAGGCCTTCACAGAGAGTTTCCAGGTGGATAACTTCCTGTATCATGACAGCATAGCCCAGGTTACACCTCCTCAAGGGGTACGAGCTCATTTCACAGAGCTCCGGTGATATCAGCGACATTTGTAAATGACGTTGCTATATTGGACATTCGCAGGGTGACCACGTGGTCCTCTGTGCATATCTGTACAAACCACTGTGCCATTAAGGCTGCATCCAGATCAGATGCAAACTTTGGGAAAGCAGTCCTGTAATCCTGCTTTAAATAGTCTCCAAGCCCTATGTTCTGTGAGTACTGCTTGCAAGTCGCCCACATAGAATACGCAGCTGCATTTACTCAAAGAAGAAAAAATGGTTACCTACTTCTGTCACCCTCCCCCCCATCTACTCTGCATCAGAGTCTGCACTTACAATATTTGGTGTGAAGGAGCTGAGAGGGTCAGGGTGGAGCCACCTTTATATGACCAGAGGAGGGGCTATGCCTGCAGGGCATGAGCATACCTCTACAGGTACTGCTAGGCAAAGTTATCCGGCTCCACTGCACAGGACACCCTGCCCCCCCATAGAACACATATCTGTATCACATCTCGAAGAACAACAGTTATAGGTAGTTAACCGTTTTATCACTGTCTTCTTTATTACATGTCCTTAACATATATGAAGACTGTTATTTGGTGTTTTCTCAGGACTAAACATGCCCGTTTTTAAATGTTTTTTAATGTTTCCTCATTTGTCAGGTTTCTAATCCTTTTATCATTTTTATTTCTCTCCTCTGAATTCTCTCCAATTTGAGCACATCTTTTCTAAAGTGTGATGTCCAGAACTGGACACAATAATCCAGCTGAGGCCTCACCAGTACTGTGTAGAATGGGACAATTGCCTCCAATGTCTTTCCTATAATACTCATGTTAATACACCCCAGAATATTAGCCTTTTTTTTGCAACTGCATCACATTGACTCATATTCACTTTGTGATCCACTATAAACCCCAGATCCTTTTCAGCAGTGCTACCACCCATTTTGTGGGTATTCATTTGACTTTTCC